ATATAGGATTGCATAAGCAGCACTCACCGACAGGAATAAGACAAACATGCATAAACTCGTTTATCTCAATCGACGCTCAGTCGTACTCAACAAGTATTCTATGAACCACCCGATTGATACAGGAATGCACAAATCGGCCGCAAATTGCCCGCGGTCTATTATCTACGAAAATTACCTAACTAGGAATACTAATAACTATTAAAATGCGAAACTGTGTCTGTTGCCTCTTTATTTGTTTGTTTGTTTCTACTTTCATTTCGAAACGGAGCGACCGATTGACATGATTTTTATTTTATTTATTCAATAAAACCGGACAGATATATGAACTACACGGAGAGAAATATCGAACCGAGTTAGTTTGAGCAATCTCTTAATTAATATTAGTTGATGTTCACAAGTTGTAGTCGAGAGTCGAGAGCTCAGTTGGTGTCTCAGGGTCGTATTCCAGAACTCTACTCAATACTCAAGTCAGGACTTGAGTATTCCAGTGAACACTGAAAATCATACACAAGTCCTCGCCATTAGGGTCGTATTTCCAGTGCTTGAAATCATACTCAAGTCTGCTCAAATCCTGACTTGAGCATTGATTGAGTTCTGGAATACGACCCTGAGAGTCGTATTCTAGAACTCTTCTCAATGCTCAAGTCAGGATTTGAGTATGGTTTAAAGCACTCGAAATCATACTCAAGTCCCTGTCATTAGGGTCGTATTTCCAGTTCTTGAAATCATACTCAGATCCTGACTTGAGCATTGAGTAGAGTTCTAGAATACGACCCGTACGAGTCTTCCTAGATGAAATTACAAATCTCCCCCTGAGCCTTTACACAACGCCCCCATTTTTTTCCTGGGTCTCTTACCGCCCCCTTTTAGGCTTGCACCGCCCACAAGGGGGCGTTATCGCCCACTTTGGGAAAGGCTGGTCTAGCTCGATCGTATTCATAATTTATGCAAAAGTGTCATCTTATAATAATTTCAAAAAGTACAGAAACAGAAAATGAAGAGGAAGACAATGCTTTGGACATTAAGTTATATGACATTATCATTGAAAAGTTTAGTTATATGTAAAGGACTGGCATCCGTGAATAGCAAAAAATATTTACATATTATTATGGCAATTCAATCATGTAATAAAGGTGTTTTATTTATTACACATTTTGAAACGATTTTTATGAGATCGATTAAAGAGCATACGATCCGATCCGTGGATTGATTCAGAGTCATATGATCCATTACGATCCAAAAAATCGATATAAAGCAAAAATCGTACATCCCTAATTCAAAGAGAACTGTCTCCTAAGCTTGCTGCTTGCTATTTTATATGGAACATACAATATATAGAATAGAAGTATGAAACTAGTTAAGTTATAAAGCTGATAAAAAAATCGACTTCACTACGCGGGCGGCGGCGCAGTACTATCGACATCCCGAATCGATACTCCGTGTCCCGCCCTGCTTTTTCACTTTGACGAATGATTGGAGATGAAAAATGGGAGTTTATTATTTTGTTCACAACTGTAATTCAACTAAATAAATCTACTTAACATAAATCTGGAAATGAAACCATATATGTTAGGGTAGAGAAAGTAAATTCAACAAAATTCCCGGAATGCAACCTACCTCATTATCGAGAGAGTTGGTCTTCCGTTTTCGGTTCATCTTCTTCTGCAAGGCGGCGGCGAGTACCGCGCCTCCGTTTACCAGGGAGGAGTTATCATGGCCGAGCGTAGGACTACTCGGCCGGGACACCAGCTGCCGGGGCTCGTTGATTACCGCTGGAAGTTTGGGAGAACGTCTCGTGTAGTCGAGTTTTTTTTTTTTGTGTACCAAGAACTGCATTTATAAACTGCGTAACAAGTATTGTAGGTCACAGGACAACTAGATAATTATAAAATAACATGCCAAACAACCACACCACTTACCTGGTCTTAAACCAATTAATTCCTACGCTGATTTCATCTTTCACGATTTACATACATTATTTGATTTTAAATTCGGGACTTAATCGTGCGTAAAAACACTTTTTATTTATCTCGACGTTCCGTACGTATAATAATAATAATAACGCATACACTCCTAGCCCCGCACTAGGGAAGTCCTGTATCGGGGGTGCCATGGACACACACAGATAACCACAAATTACACCCAAACTCACGAGAGAAATAAATGTAGGCCATACAAATATTTCTCCCGGCCCGGGATTCGAACCCGAGACCTCTGCATGGCAGTCCAGCATGGTAAACGTTCGGCCACGGCAGCAGTATAGTATTGCAACGTCCATGGTCTCGAAGGGACCATGTCCTGTCTTGCCATGTCTTGTGTCATCAGTCCCTTAGCGACCATGGATGTTGGAATACGTCCGAAACATCGAGATCGAGGCAAAATATGATTTTATATACGATTAAGTCCCGAATTTAAAATCAAATAATAGGAGATTCCTATACTAAGCACCAAGGCAACAAAAATAATTCCGGGGGCATTACCCAGAACACCTAGACCAGAACCATTTTAGAAAAGATCGTCTCCCAAATTGGTCCTACTGGGAATCGAACCCGGGGCCTTCTCATCAAGCGTCCACAGTACTAACCGCTAGGCTAATAAAAAAAGAAATACTGAAAAGTCATTTTTTATAATTGAAAATTGCACCATACGTTTTATTTAATTACAATATGGTCTGTCTATTTTAAGACGGATTAAAATGACATTTGCAGGGTTGTCAGTTTTCATAAAATTTTAAATAGTGATGTAGGTACTTAGTTCTTATAGATAGGTTTATGGATAGATTGTGAAAGAGGGTACAATTTTGCCAAAAATATCTGATGTGTGAATGTTACGACGTTCTAATAGCGTTATTGCCTTCTTCTTTCTTATTTTGACAATTGGCCTACTAGTATCGAAACAAATTTTCATTGATAATAATACATTTTACACGAACAGGCAAATTTGATTCAATCATTTTATTTCAAAACGAGTACAAATATGTACTCGTATTGAAATAAAATGATAAAACTTTAAAATAAGTCTCCTCCTTGTATTTTTAATAGACATAGTTCTAAATACAGTGGATGTGGACATATAAAAATATTGACAATTCAAATAAACCTGTGCCCTGTATTTGGACGAATAATGGGCGGATGATGATTCAAATGAAATAAATTCGGTTATTCATTGCATAAGCATAACCAACATTCAGCCTATAGTCGATAAAATATTTATGGATTGCAATTTATCGACTGCATCGATAAATATTTTTTAAAGTTTGATGTGCTGGTGTCTATTACATATTAATGGAAACCTGGTATTTTAATTAAAATTTGAATGTTCATATTTTTTCCTTGTTGTGGAAAATAATGTGTAGGCTTTTACTATGTATACCTGTTACGCAGTTTTATTTTTGTTGATACATGTAAATTCACCCTTAGAGGATTGATAGTGGGCATCTTTATTAAAAAAAGTACAACAAACCGTGATTTCGGCATGCCTTTCAACTTCAAGGTGATTTTATTTGGAAGTACATGTTCTTTATGAGCAAATTTAGTTCAAAATTAATATATGAGCATATATTAATTTTAGATCAGCCTAAAATAGATTGTTTAATCACTACAACAATAATAATAATAGCGCACACACTCATAGCCCCGCTTTAGGAAGACCCTGTATCGCGGGTGCTATGGACACAAACATAGACAACCACAAATTACACCCAAACTCACAAGAGAAATAAATGTAGGCCATACAAATATTTCTCCCGGCCCGAAATCGAACCCGGGGCCTCTGCGTGGCAGAGCAGCCCCCCGATTCAGAACTCTTCGATATTTTAACCGAATCGTGCGATTGGATATCGTTCTCGAATCGAAGGGCGTTTTCTGAGCTATTCAGAACATTCCAGTTAAACGTTCGATTCGGATTCGGATACGATATCGTTATCCAATAGCGTTTACGGAGTTAGTCGGTGAAATTGATTATGAGAAAAATGAAAATCCTTTTTTATACATTTTTAAGACTTTAAAAGCCTAATATATAGGAATTCATTACTATCGCATTAAAATAAATTAATAAAATTGAACAAAATCCAGATTTTATTTAAACTAATAAAAGATTTCTGTATTACATTCTTGCTTTGTGAACAATAGGACGTTCGGTAACTTTCATTCGAAAACTGTGTTCTGAATAACGTTTGCAACCTTTGCCGGTCGAGAAGTACGAGTAATCGAGTACGAGTACGGGAGTGACGTCAGTTCGGTTGCGTTTCGAATACAACAGTTTGACGTTCGATTCGGTTATTGTGAATAAAAATTAAAAGAAATCGTAGGATATCTAATCGAATCGGTCGACAACAGAGTCATCGTAAGGTTCTGAATCGACCTGCAGCATGGTTATTATGGGTACGGTGGCAGTAATAATAATTGTACATTTGTTTAATTTTGATGGTAACAAAATGGACAAAATACCCTGATTTTTTATTTTTTACTTATTAATAAAGATGTCTTTTAAAATAGAGTTTAAGAAAATAATAAAGTTTTTTCAACTTTTGTAAATTGACATTGTATTCTTTAAGTAAAAATGCCCTAAATAATGCAAGGCTTCGAATTTATTAGTCAAAATGAAAAGGATCTAGATTAATATGCACAAAATACACACAAATTTATTCATTTATTTATTGTAAATATGTTTACACGGCATTACAGTTCCATAACCAATGCGCCGTAAAACCAAACTAATTAAAAAATAACAATAAAAATGAAAAAAAAACCAAAGACTGAAATAATAAATTAAACTATAGCACTATACTTGACTCACTATCATCCATCGCTTCACAAAATCTCAGGCATTCACAACACACAGCCGCCCATCGCCATGCAAACAGATCACACTCCGGTGCTGATGCCAAGAGTTGATTGAGCATTGCGAGGGCACGGAGCAGTGGTGAGTTCCTGCGCGATACGGTACGCACCGGTGGGACTGTGAATAGTTCACGACGTTGCGCTCTTAAAACTATTTTAGGAATGTCTGGGACAAAGAGCCTTACAAACTGTCCCACTAGCTCAGGACAGTCCGACTCGCCGCGTAATACCTGAGAAACAGATACCAGCAGGTTGTTGTTCCGCCTCACCTCAAGGGAATTATACTGAATAGTCCCCAGTAAATACTTTGTCGGATACAAAAACGGATAATAGCCGTACATTTTTTTGTAGAAAAATCTAAGGAAAGCTTTTTGAACCTTTTCGATCAAAGATGTATACGTAGCTTCATGCGGGTGCCATATAAGCGATGACGTCTCAAGTTTGCTTCTCACTAAAGCATTATAGACCATTCGTATAGCACCAAAATCTTGAAATTCTTTGACGTTGCGGATCACAAAGCCCAGTCTTCGAAAGCAGTCGGCAGCAAGTGTCACGACATGATCGTGAAAAGTGAGGCGCGAGTCAAAGACTACACCAAGATCCTTTATAGAAAAAACGCGGTTAATCGGATCAGTTCCAAGCACATATTGAATATGTAACGGAGCACGTGAACGGCTAAAAGTGCAGACAAAACATTTCGCTGGATTGAAAATAAACTTGTTATCCACACTCCATTGGAACACAGCATTGACGTCTCTTTGTAAAGATTCACAATCGGCTGTGTGCTCCACCCCATACACTAATTTGAGGTCGTCAGCATAAAGCAGACAACGAGCGCTCTTAAGAACTGATTCCAGGTCGTTGATCAATAAATTAAATAAGAGGGGACCCAGAACTGAACTAGCTTGCTTAGAAGCACGTCGTTATCTACACGATCGAAGGCTTTTTTAAAGTCGAAATAGAGAACGTCAACCTGGATACCCCTGTCTAGATGATCAGAAATTATGTCGACTAAAACCAATAGATTTGTATTAACACAGTGATTTGACCTAAAGCCATGTTGCGAGTCACACAAAAAAAGCCTCATTTGTGGGGTTAAGCACATACATGCATTTGTATATGTATATTTGTATATTCGATTCTTCCTACGTGGGCGAACGGTTGCCATGCCGGACTGCCACGCAGAGGTCCCAGGTTCGATTCCCGGGCCGGGAGAAATATTTGTATGACCTACATTTGTTTCTCTCGTGAGTTTGGGTGTAAATTGTGCTTGTCTATATGTGTGTCCATGGCACCCGCGACACAGGGTTTCCCTAGTGCGGGGCTATGTTGAGTGTGTATGTTATTATTGAAAATCCAAAATTATTTTATATTTAATAATAATCGGAATCGATCCTTTTGAGTAGTCTTGAAGTGAGATGGGTTTCTGTGCGAGAAGATGAACCTGATTCCTACTATATCTTTCTAATTTGTGAGTTAAATCAGCTAAAGTTCCAATTAGAAATATCAAAAGTTTCCGATCGGCCAGTTGTGAATCACAATTATGTGCTTCGACTCGGAAAAGACGCAGTTCCCGATCGGGAGAGGCAATCAAAATCAAGCTGCTGTAATGCGCGTCTGCAGCGGTGATGCGTGTTTTGAAGTCTTTCATCTGAACGCGGAGGTACTGCATGTTATGTGTAAAACATTCGTGACTACATTTGTGTAGTCATAAATTGTTTAGCCTTAAAGTATCAATAAGTATTAATAAGTGATTATTGCGTTGTTATTGTTCAAGGTCAAAATCATTTCAGAAGTATTAGTATTTTTTTACTTATTATCTTAGCATGCTCTCTAAACTAGTGAAATTACAAAAGCATCGACCAATAGAAACCACTGAAATGCTTACCTTAGTTATGCTTGGCGTATGTTATAATTTATACACAATATGTACTGAATTAAAATATAATGTTTCCCCATTTTCAAAACACATATTTGCTGAATAAAAAGAAAAGGGAACGTACCCGCAGTGCTTTTATGTGCTGAGCCATTTGTGACGTGACTAGGAAGGTTGGTATGGGCTTTGTCATGTAACTTTGGTGGCGTTGGAGTCACATAGGTATTAAGAGACCTCGGAATGTCATTGCAGACATTATCATCTGCCGACAAAATGTTACATTCAAATGCCAATCTTGATTTTTGTGTAAGATAAAACCATTGTCTCACGTGAGTGCCGAGTTATTTACTGCGATGCTAAATTTTTTATAACAAAAATTATTTGCTTGTTGTTTAGAATTTGATACATAAACAACATTAATCGCCCAATTTCATTAGCTCACATAGATATGATATTTCACATTGATAGCAAAAACATTTTCTTATTGCAAAAATGTCCACAGAAATTATATTATTAAGAAAATAGCTAAAGTGGTATTCAAAAGCATTTATGCAGCATATCATGCATTTGCCTAAGGCGGTACTTAATCTACATACCAATTACCATAACAAGTAAAAAATAATAATAAAAAGATTACTACTACCTTAAATTTATTTATGTTCATGCTGAAGTAGGGTATACCTTAACCTACCTAATTAAAATCAATTTGTAATTCTTAAAAAAAGCAATTATAGATCTGCTACAAATAAATATAGCTCTCCATCTTTGCACCTGTACTAAATTATTATAAGTAATTTAATAGTTATATTACAACTGCGGCTTGAATCTGATATCTTTCTTAAATAGTTATTTGTTATTCAAGGCTATAAAGTTGTTCTTTGACGCTAGTGCTTGTATTGAAACCTGAGAAAGCCAAGGATGCTAAAATTGAACCACATGAGAAGCGAGTGGTTCAAAAATAGAAGCCTGAGTGTAGCGAGGGTTTCAAGACACGAGACGCAAAACAATTTTGCCGTCGAATGAAACACACGACTTTTCAGCTCAATTTAGCGAGGTAAAATTAAATCAATTAAATTGTTGAAAATGGTTTCTGTGGCTGTTTGAAAAACAATCTCGGGACGCAGGCTTTGCACAATAACTTGTGTTTGTGTATCTGGTCTGTGTATTTGGTATTGTGCAATATAACTTTATTATTATTGTTATTATTTTACAATTTAATTATTTTCATGTCTAATTTTTTATGTGTCAAATCTAATTTAATTTATTAAGTGTCTGATTGTGTTAATATTTGAATTTTATTTTTATTTTTTTTTAATTGTGGTGGTCTATTTTTATGACAGGCCATGGCAGTATACCTATCAGCGAGGGCTATGTAATTAGCATAGTCATCAGATGCTGAGTCACGGACCTTTTTGACATGCTTTCTTTTGCTTATTTGTTATAAGTTTTTTCTATAATTTTTTCCTACTTTTCTATTGTTCTTTTTTGTATTTATGAACGAATTATTTAATAATTTATTATCTGTATTTTAAAATGTAGTTTGCATGTCAAATAAAGATGATTTTATTTTATTTTAAATTTAATGTCTACAATAATAACAATAAAATATATCGCGTAGTTGAACGTGTTATTATTAGTTATGTTTTTTTTCATAGAAAGCAAAAGTTAGGTGCACCACAGTCCAACATCAAGTTCGAATTTCAAAAACCTTTTCCACACTAGCGTGGAAAAACCTTTTGCGTGTAAATTTCTAATGAGAAAGAAAGTCTTTCCGAGCTAGTGAGGTGAAAACTATTACCATTACATTAACATTTAGTATTGGTGCAATAATGGCGCATGTTGGCAAATGTAGCTAATCAATAAAATAAAAATTATGCTTTTCTAGTGCAAAATATAGCAAAAACACACATACTAAGAAAACTAGGCATAATGCCACCTCCTGATCCAATGTGGGTCTTCTTTGGTGTTGTGGTACCACCAGTGGGGGCACCATCCCGTCGGGGGAACTGCACTTTGCGTGTATCCAGCCATGACTCATCCACCCACTCGTCAAGGCGTTTGTTAACTGGAATGTTACATTATAAAACCATTGCACAAGATACTAAAGTGTGTAGAATATTGTATGGTTGGATCCCAATTGTCTGAGCGGAATTTCAGCACAGTCATATTAAAAGCATATTTTAAATGCATTATTGCTTGTATTAAGTTTACAGTCACAAGCATTGAAGTTCCAACAAGTATGGAGTTACAACAAGTACAGAATTAAATCACATCAGTACTTACAAGCTTAAATTTGCTATTGTAAACAAGAATGGCATAATAAGATTATTACTGAGTAAATTGTAAATCTTGTGTGATGTGCAAATCCAAGTTTAAAAATAGTGAGATCAGATTGCTTACATTACTGTAATCATAATAGTTATTGATCTAAACTTCAAATAATACACAATACACATGGAGTGGATAAAAGGTCCCTTTGAAATCTAAGAGTGATAAAAAAATAGTAATATTTTTTTTACAATAAAATTATCTTTTCTTTTACAGATGTAAAATAGGTGTGTAGATGTTGACTTGTCATTACCAGCTCATCACACAATACTGTAGCAAAACAATTGCTTGTTACACTATAAAAATATATAAAACAAAGTACAATATAATAGCTTTTGAATTTCAGATGGAGGTATCTCGATGTGTATTACTTCCTCAAAATTTATGTAAATATAATTTACCTATTCCGGATTACACAGGGTTATTAGTAGAATACTATAGTCCATTTCAACAGGGATGATTCCGGTGTTGTTTGAAATTTGAAGTATCTGGAGATGTAGTGATGTAAAATCACATGAAAAAAAACTCAATTTAAATATCTCATCGAGATAATTTGTAATTTACAGAAAATAATTTAAGAATAACTAATGAACAAAGTAATGGTGTAAATATATATATGGATAAATTTTTCGTTTTACACATTAAGTAATTAGGGTAATTTATGTTGTGTCTATCCCTAAAAACTACACAACCAAACAAAAAGTCAACTATAAAGCATAAAATCAACAGCAACGAAACGGAATTTGAACAATTACTCCAAAAAGATCATGCAAAGCTAAAAACAAAATAAAACCCTCTAAGAAGGTATGTTCCTCATATTGACGCAAATCATACAAAAGTCGTTTCGATTTATCGATTCTATGGCGTAAATCTCTATGGATAAATAATCCATTTTATGCATGAAGCAGTTTGGGTAACTTATTTTTATATTTATTATTTCATTTTCTATCTACATAATATACCACAAATTTGACTTAAAATTACATCTATAATAAATATTGTATGATTTTGCTACATTATAACAAATTTACTATTTATTTTTGTAACCTGGTTGACAGATTAGTTATAAATCGTATGTGTGCAACGTAAAAATTAGAAGTGTCACAGAACTCATCCCTATTGAAATGGTCTATAGCAACATTGCAGGACTATATTACTTACATTCCAAACAATAACTGTTTTTCACGTTTCCATGACTTTTAATAATTCATCAATATAATTTTATTTTCATACAACAAATAAAAATATTTAAATAGATTGCTCTACTATCAACCATGACCATGAGACCTTAAAAGGGCGCGAAGCATTGGTTTGTTTTTAAAAACAAATATACATCATTTAAATCCAGAAAAATAGTTTCATTTCCTAAATTGCTCTAATAGGTGATAAGTCTGTACAGTAACAAAAGAAAAAGCAAGCATGCAGGAGCAAACATGGGGGTCGTCAGAGAGGATGCTTGCATTTTGGACTTACTACCTTATTATCAGATATAGATCTATAAAAGTAGTGTCAGTTCCAAAATATAAAAAGATTATTTTTGGTAAATTTACTGTTTCATAAAAAGTCGTGGAACAAAAGTTGTTTGTGATGTTAGCAATGTAATCCCGAAGGCTCCCAATATTTTACGAATAGCCTAGAAATATCTTTGCATTTAAAATGGAGACTCAATTTACTTAAAAAATCAATATTCATAGTAGAATTAGTGACTTGTAGATAGCAGAAAAGTGTCTTAGTAAAGTAAGGAAGTTTCATAATCTGATGCAAAAGTCAACAATTGATGCAAGTTCATTGGGCACGTAATATCATTTATAATACTATTTCGAGGATAATTTTTCACTCGCAAGATAGCTTGATATCTATATATATTGATTATCATAGAATTCATACGTTTTTAGGAGTCATTGTAGAATTTCGAAAGAATGATTGATTCAAGAATTCAAGAGCAACTTACAGTCAACATAGTGAACGTAAAAGCCTCTTTGTCCACGGATATCCTTAATGCTAAGAATTTCAGCTAAAGGCCAGTCGTCGCCTCCTTGCATACGGACTGGGAGACGGCATCCTTCCACCAGAGCGGACTGCAAATATGGTTTACATGACTAAATAAAATCATACCAATAATTTGAACATAATTTGATTCACTCAATTCACTTACTGTGGAATCACAGAAAGTTGTAAGTTCGTCTTCATTTTCATTCATTTTGATATAAAATCACAAATTATTAAACGAAAAATACTCAAAACTAACACATGCTTTTTAATCTGTGGACGCGTTACTTGTGACATAAAGGGTACTGTTCGCGCGGTCACACGAATTGTATTAAGGCTTAAAATGTAATTAGTATTTTGAAAAATTTGTTTAACCTAATGAACCAATTAGTTAATTTAAATGAATTCATAGTACTTATATGAATTCATATTAATTATTAGTACTTATATGGATTCATTTCAATTCCAAAAGGAAAATCGTGGAAAAAGTTGAAAATTATTAATAATAATTTCGTAACGATTTCTACAAACGAAACGTTCGAAAAAAGTACAGTTGGTTGTTTTTTTTTTCTAATGTCTTTCGACTTTTCGCGGTAAGCGTTTTAGCCACTTACAAAGTGTTTACGTTTACGACAGTCTCGCTTAGAAGTCTATGGATCACGTAATATTTCCTTTATTTTTTCTTTTTTTTCATCATAAAAGCTCAATATAACAAACCCTCTGTGCAAACCTTAGAGGATGGAAAAAATCTAGGTGCAATTTGTTTCCATAGTCTAAGGCAAACCACAGCACTGACAGTTACTTCCAGGCTAGACCTGTGTCGGTCGACCATTTTTAATAACCCGGGTCGATCATGACCCATACGTAATGTGATCTCGCCAAATGACACGATCATATGTTCGATCTTTTAGCGGGTCATCGTCGCTCACGATATTTCCATTTGGCGTTTAAAAGCGTCATATTATTACAATTAGTTTTTATTCTTTCCTGCTGATGGGTAATGTGTATAAATTTTTAATGCATCATTGGTAAACCACACTTAGGACACTAAAACTTTTTTCAAGAAAAAGTAACACTTACAAAATAAAATTACATAACAAAAAAACTTATGAGCATCCAAAATTATCAAGTTATTAGGTTTTCGCGATTGTTACTCATAGGAAATAAAACTATTTTCCCGGATTTAAATCGTATATATTTGTTTTTTTCAAACAAACCGATTGTCAACCGTGACCATGGGACCTGTAAAGGGCCCAAAACGTCGGTTTGTTTGAAAAAACAAATATACGCGATTTAAATCCGGAAAAATAGTTTTATTTCCTAAGCATTCAAAATTACTAATTTATTAATATTTTAATATTAGCTAGTGCACTCATAAATAATCAAAAGATGCCGAAAAATAGATTAAACTTACAAAATTACCATGTAATAGATACTAGGCCACGGAGTAATTAGGATGAATGATTGATAGACTCATTGATTCGTTGATCCGTTAACCCGTTGTTGAATCGTTGATCGATTGCTTGACTTTTTGGTTCGATCGAACGAAGATTCTATCGAATGAATGCTTTATCGAAAAAATGTTCGACCCAAACGAAGAGTGAGAAGGCGAACCGTGTTGTGAGTGGAGACTGCACGTGAGAGTGAACGAGACAAACGTAATAATAATAAAAAAAGTTCAATAATCTCTAAAGTATAGATTTTAAGGCTTTCGTGATTATTTACTAAATGATTATCACTAATTTCAGGTTTCTACCACTTTTTATTTTCCCAATATTTCGGAACGGTTGCACGCTCCATGGTCACGGGTTGACTGGTCGGCGGCAGATGACAGCATTAAGAACAGACATATCTGTCTACCCTCTCGAAATAAAAAAAGTCATACCGTGGTAAGAAACCTGAAATTAGTGAATCTCTAAAGTTATAATGATAAAGTCGAATGTTGCGCACATGACCCATGGAACTCTAAAATGATCAGGTTATTTAGAAGCTAGTAACCCGGGTTATCGGGTCACAGAACAGGTGCTGTTCGAATCATTTTGACCTATCGATCACGATCGACACGCGTCTAATTCCAGGCGCCGTGCTGTCCGTGCTGCTTTTATCTTTGCCTAACCTCAAAGTTTGTATTGTGGTTTGATATTTGATGAGTTGTTGCAGGAAAATATTGCATGAAAATTATAATAATTTTAATCACCCTATAGAGTTGCGAATTTATCATTGTTATCAATAGATCGTGAGAGTCTGTTATAGTCAAAATGACCCAAGAAATGAGTGAAGCTGATCAAATTAAAACGGTAATGTTGTACAGATTTTTCAGGTTTACCGATCATGTTCTATGATTATAAATCACTGTAGGTACTCCGATTTTTATGTATGCGATAAGTCAGGTGCCGCTGTAGTTAGATTAAATTTGATGATGTATTTTTCCTAACCGACGAGGAGTGGTAAATTATTTGAAAATTACAAGAATGTTGGGTGACATGAATTTATATGTATCCCGTGTATTTTTCACAGTTTAAGGAGTTCCTTATGCAGTACAATAAGCTGTCTGAACTATGCTTTAATGATTGCGTACACGACTTCACATCTAGGACTCTCCGGCCATCAGAAGTAAGTACAAAAACCTCAAATCTTAACTATGTTATTAGTCCATTGTCGTTAGGGTTAGTATCGCTGATAGACTTCTCAGATTAGAAAGATTTTAATGTTGCTATGTGTAGTCACACAAAAGTTAAAAATACAATAATTTCACATTTCTTAACCATAAGACTTAGCTATATAATTACAATCGTCAAAATATAATTGTTTTCAAAGACTTGGTGTTTCACAAAGCTTACATGAATAAATGATTAAAATTGAATTATTGCATTTATACCCACCATTTTGGTGGCTTCTAATATACCCACTATTTTGGTGTCTGGATGGCTGGTGTGACTATTGGTTGAATAAAATTTCTGCAGGGTGGTATAACAGATTTTTCTGGCAAGATACACACTTTGGAAATTCGTCAGAAGGAAGAGTACACAAATAAGTACTCTCTTGACATCCATGGTAGAACAGGGGGCCAATCGCGCTATTTTCGCAAGGTTTAACCGTACAACATTTGAGGTTATGGTTTTGGTTAATTAATGGTTCTACCGACGCACAAAATGCAATCGCGCTATCAGTTTTAATGAACCTAAACCTCAGTTAAACCTCAAACTATAACCTCGTATTAAATTTTAAGAGACGTGCCTTGACTTCCTAAAACCGACTAAATTTTACCGTAAAACGCACTGAAATGTCAATATCTACGAATTCAAGTCTATAAAAGAGCGATTTAAAAAAGTGTGTAAAAGAAATGTCATTAAATTCTATTGTAAACAAACATATGAGTTGTCATTTGAACCAAATTAATTGAATTTAGTGTGTTGTTGTTGTAGATAAAACACACAGAGGTAAGTACCTACACATTGTTTTCCTGTTTTAATATTCTATTTAATAAAATAGTATCTTTTTATACAATCAAATAGGTACGCTAACTACTATTAATTTCGAAATGTTAGCAATGTAGAATTAATAATGATGCTCGTATTTCAGCCAATGTGGATGCGGTCGGACGGCGAGCGACCACTGTAAGCCAGCTCCATCTTTGCTGGAGTTCGAATCGCACAGAGATTTAGCTTGAGAATGACTTCGCTCGGCGTTGTTCGCGCGTGTTATCAGCACGCCTTTGGTGCGAGTGTGTGGCTATTTTGTGGCCCCGCAATAGATCCCAAAAGGTGAGTCATAATGAGAGGTAATAGGATACAGTGAATGGATCACTCACCCTTATTGTACCAGAACTCATATCACTATAATATGCAATGTTATTATTTGTTATTCAGATATGGAATGGTATGAAAAGCAGGGTGAGAATCTACGCCACATCGACTGCGGCAGAGGACCTACCAACCTTCCTAAAGGACACCAACTCTAGCACTAAGTAACTAAATAACTTCAAACATACAATTCCATAACAAAGTAACTTTCTCACTCTTTATTATTAATTAAAAAACAAAGTAACTTTCAATTTGAGCAAATTCTTTCCCACTCTTTATTACATCACATCTATTATTTCGTTGGCAGCGAGCTGATGAGCGTTGGAGCAGAGCCGGGTAGAATTCTTATGCATTGAGAAGCTGCGAGCATGCGAAGCATTCTTGCAGCAAGTGAATGCTGGCAGGGTGCAGGCTGAGGCAGCTATTATTTCTGTCAAAACGGATGATCTGCATGCCCAATCCGTAGCTGCTATTTGCAAAGCAATTACCGAGTTGGTGCCTGCAGTTAACCTTTTTGATAGAATATTTAACAAGAATGACAGGTTTGTTTTCAACATGTTTTCTTAATTCCTGCTGATGATATGTTCAATTGTGGAAATCTGAAAGAGCGTAAGGAACGAAGGTCTAATCTGTAGACTTTTGTCCCCTTTATATTTCCACAGTGATATAAACATTTTTTTAAATGTATTTTGAAAAGGCCCCTAAACATTCTGGCGTTTATGTTGGCTTCATACTGTATGTATATAAATACCCATCCTGCTTTATCTGTCACTACTCTCATGAGAGGTATGGCACAGTCTTAAATTTAGGTCTCCAATCTTCCTATATACATATTTTTGTTTCAGACTTCTTTGAAGAATCAAAAGCAAGCTCGCTCTGGAAATGAAGGATGATTTGGGGTAGATTGAGGCAATAAATAAACTAAAAATACACTCTTTTTTTTATTTCAACCTCTTAAAAGTATACATCAATTTAGATATTAAGATAATAAACAATTACAATAGGTATACATCGTCATCTTAGAATGAATACCTCATATTTCTATGTAATTTTTTAGGATGAAGATAAAAATATGGTGTGAAGTATAGTAAATGCAATAATGTGTGTAGTTAGCATTTTAATTACTTAAATTATACCTCTTTTAGATACTATATTATTACATTATTAATTTTTATTCAACAAAAATCAGTAAAAACAAACTGAAAATGCATATGTGAGGCTTCACTGTAAGGGGACGATATGTTGTATAAAGTCAAGTGTTAAAAGAGATAAATTGTAACCTTGTAATATATTTTTATACAACTATACATATTTTACCTATATCTGTAATTTTAATTTGATAATAACAACAGGAAATAAGACAAGAACTAATAAATATGATGTACATTGTAAAGCTTATTTTCTCACCGCCTTTTAATATCATCTCTTTCGGCATGCCTTTTAGGAAAGCTGCATATTTATTCATAATAACTGGTTTATTTGAAGCAGCTACTGCTTGTGCCTCTCTGACACTGGCTTGGGAAAGGGTGATAAGCACTTGCCAATGGGGGTCTAGTACGCCCCAGTTGTTAAAAACTATACGAGCTATTAAAATCTGTAACAAAATTAATAATGATTTACACAGTATAGAAATTTTGGTTATTATGCAAAACTGAGAACTTTCGGATTCCACTTAACCCTTACCTTTGTCTCCACATCCAATGCAACAGACCGTCCTTTAACGAGAATATGTAGGCATAGTTCTTCCACCAATCCTGAAATGAATTCCGTGGACAAACGGTATATCGTTTGCGGAATTTCTCCTCAGACATGTTAAATGTGATCGTCTTTCTATGCTTTTCTTTTATTTAAAGCCCGTTCTTAGGCCACATCCACCTCATAAACACTTTCCAAAACATTTAAGTAACCGTGGAACATCTTTTATATACGATAAACGTAGTGAAAAGTTACTCTCCATTAACTGCCACACAAACCTTAACCTTTCCAAGGTTACTCTATTCCCCCAAGGTTACATGTGAGGTTAAAACGTCAAAATATTTAGCGCGATACCAATTTGCAACATTTTAGGTTTTGGTTTTACGTTTGACAATTAGCGCGATACCAAATGTGCGTTACGTGTCACACGTCTAAGTTTTGGCTTAGGTTTTTGTTTTGACAGTTAGCGCGATACGAAATGTACACAACGTGTCAGATTGGCGAGGTTGGAGGTTTTGGTTAAACCTTTGACAATTAGCGCGATTGGCCCCCAGTTAGCACTTAAATTAAGAAAACAATTTTCTTTGGGGAATAAAATTTACTTTAGGCAGTGAGTATTGCCCTTAGAGCTAGATTTCATAATTTGGTATTCGTAATACAAAATGAGATATTGTAATTGGTATGGGTGTTTGGTTAGCAATAGTTTATATTTTTATTTACTATAGTTTTCACTGTGAAATATGGATTTTATAGGAATTTACCTAAACATAATACTGATTGCAAAGTAACTTATTCAGGTCTATTTTTAATTTGAACTTTTATACACAGTATATTGATAGACTTAAAATTTTAGTTGAAAATTCTGTTGATTTTTTATACAAACTATTAGTATCACCTGTTATAATTAAAGGAATCTTTGTTAAAATGGCTAGTATACCAAGGAAGTTCAATCTTAGTACACAATTATAATTATCATCATCGTCATCATCATCACCAGCCTTTTGCATTCCAATATTCAATTAATAATTCCTACATATATTGCATGCTTATTCAAACAAAGAAATAAATCAAATTTAATGTTTTTTGGCAATTAAGGTTTAAAGTTTTCCATACTTTAGGCATAAAGTTTGTATGTGGATAACAAAATATGTAATTAATTTCAACAAATAAAATGGTTGTAATTTGTAGATGAGTGTGTAAGGATTTGCAGGAGTCATTTAAAAATATAATTTATTTATTCTTTATAATCAAAATTACGAATAAAAAAAAAGTTCCTACTTAATTCACTTTAAGATTAAAACTTGGGATATTTTATCAAGTATCAAGTGAAAGAAGCCAAAATAAGCCTTTTTATTATCAAAAAGAAAATCAACCATAAGGTTAAATAAGGTTTTACTCCACTTTTATATTGAAACATTTAAAATTACTTTTATGAAATTTCGTGTATTCCGTGTTCCGCTCCCTTTTTAAGAAAATTGACGGAGTCAGTTTCTTGCTTTTTTTTATATGAAAACAAAATATGAAATTATATTTTATTTCAATTATATTTAAATCAATAAACTTTAACAAAAACTATAATGGGAACATATCTGTCAATAGTGAACTAAAAATCTCAACAGCCCCACGCTTAGCTTCCGATTCTGTCCAAAAGTAAGCGTGAACTTCTTCCTTCATACGCCATTTTTGAGTTAGTTTTGGTCAATTCCGTTAAAGTTAGATTGTAGCTATTAAATTTAGACTTAAAATAAAATGCCGAAGTATCACCTCTTGGATATTGCAGCACCGCTTCTAAGTCATAAATAACTATAATTTTTTTTGTAATTTTTGGCGATAGGTTTGTTTTTCCATTCTACTTATTGTTTTTTCTTCTATATGTAGCTTATATTTTTCTTCTAGCTCCTTTTTTCTCAGTGGAGTTAGTGTATGATAAATTTAAGTCACTCTGTTCTGTTTTAGGTGGTACAAGCTAATATTGATTTCTTTGGTGAATATTTTGTAGTAAGCCAAATAGTTACATCAGATTTTGAGTATTTTTTTTACATAAAAAACAAACTTCAAAAGTCATTCAACCACTAGTTTGCCAACCTTGGAGCTGGAATGTTTTCTTTAAATTAAAATGGGACCACTCCTGAGGTACCCTCTTTCCAACAAAAGAGAATCATCAAAATCGGTTTACATCGGAGTTATCGCGTAACATACATAAATACAAAAAAAACATATAGTCGAATTAAGAACCTCCTCCTTCTTTTAAAGTCGGTTATAAAAAAATTATGGAAAGCAACGATGAGGTCGAAGATGTAGCATGCACACCTAAATAATGTCTATTGTCTCTCGACATGACGGGTCCAATGGTCCAAGTTATAGCGTTCGGGGAATAAGTACTATCATATAAATGTGGAAGCGTTTCGCTTCACGCGAATTCTGAGAGTGTTTACAATATAGTGACATATTCTGTAGAATACCGATAAGCAGGCAACTTAACGATGGTGTTTAAGGCTGTGCAGTTTCGTCTATATTAAATCCGAGTTACCCATAAGCCTCTTGCACGATTTTCAATAGAATCCAAAGTGGCCAGTTGGTATTTAGCAGATCCATCCCATAAGTGGCAGCAGTACTCCATTTACGACCGGACTTGTGCTTGGTACAGCTGTAGTAACTGTCCCAGTGTGACAACCGTTAGTCGCCGTAGCGCGACGGGAAGTGAGCGTACGTTTAGCTCCGGTACCTATCTGGAAAATAGGGAGGATGATGTATGTGCAACTGGGGCGGCTTGCCTACGCCAAGGAACAAAACAGAGAACCGGATGAAGTCTATGCAAACGGGCTGATCTGGAGATAGGACCTGACTTAGATAGTTCGTGTGCGGGCATGCTCGCGCTGGTCATAGTGCCCTAAGTATACCCAAGAGTCGGTAGGGAGGGTTACTATAATCACAACTAATACAGAAAGTATTCCGGTGTGAAGTAGTGCCTCATCTTGGAAAGGATGTCAAGCTTCCTGGCTGCATTTTTGGCCATGAATTCTACGTATCTGCCGAAATTCAAATTGGACGCCTGGTCCATTCCAAATAGCTGGAGGCGATCGGCTATCGGTCCATACCATATATATCACGCAAAGTCGGAGTCAGGTCAAAGGGACTCCGTTCAGCGGAGAATAGACACGCGTGCGTTTTGGTACGTTAAATTTTACTAGATTGGCATCGTCCCAATCGGAGACTGCCATTAAGTGTCAAATTCAAATGACTAACCATGGACTCTCGACAAGACTGGATTTCTTCTCCAATAACCCTTGCATTAGTCAAGTACCTATCCACGATTGTGGTATCATCAGGATACCCATAGGTGCCTGGAATTTTTATCAAAGGCTTAAGAATGTCTAAAGACTGCAGTGGCTTTGCCAGCCCTTCTATAGTCTCGCTCCATAAGTAGGAGGCGTACACAAGAAGATTCCCGGTAGATCGCCCTCTTCGGAATCGCTGAGGAGATCGTTATCTTCAAGGTACGATAGGAGACGGTTGTTAAGTACACATTCCATAGTATTGCTGAGTATGGAAGTGACTGAGATAGGTCTATAGATGACAGAGTCAGCACAGATTCCTTTTTTACGTACAGGTTGAAAGTTTGCAAGTTTCCGGTACCTGGAAACTACACCAGTCTCTAGTGAGAGGCGATGCAAGCGTGTGAGAACAGGGGACAACTCTGGCGCACAGTCACGCAGTACTATTGCTAGAATCCCTTTTGGCCCGCTAGCCTTATTCACATCTAAACTCCGCAGAGTTCTGAGTACCTATTTTTGGTGTATGTGAACTGGCGACATACATTCGATACACCTGCGGTTATATTCTAAGAATGTTGATTGGGACGTTTAGAAGAAGTCGAACTTTCAGAATCATATCATCATTGATAAGCTCGTCTAGAATGAACTTGACGAGGATGAACTTGCAGAATTTGAACTGTACGATGGCTATGGTAACGATATTTGTGCGTTTTGATTAACTTCAGAATATAAAGACAGTGTCATCTGCGTTACTATTATCATCAATTATCTGTGGTATCTGATAATATCACATCACACCTATTCATTGATTAGTCCAATATATTTGTTTTTCCTGTGTTGTATTTTGATTTGGAGAGATTTTTCTCCATTATTTTAGGCTTCAATTGGATAGGTATTTGACGTTGAAGTCGGCGATATAAGTTTAATGTTCGACGAGTGCTCCAAGATGTCATTCTAAGGAAAATTATAAAAAAATATATAAAAACTGCTCAAATACTTTTTCCTCTTAAAAAATAAGTAGTAATTGTGAAAAAGGAATGAACTAATCCCATATAATTTAGTTTTTTTTAATGGTAAAGAGTAATAATGTCACTTGATACTACTATTCAGAATATTTTTTATAAAATAACTGATGCAACTCATAATCCATCTACAAAATACTCAATCATTTTGAATTAAACTGAATTAAATGCAAATAACTCAAACAAATTTAGTAAAAATTGGAATGAAACTGAATTATGTCGAAATGTTTCAATGTTTAGTTGCATCAATTTTACAATAAGGTGAAATAAATCTGGAAGACATCACTTTATGAATAAATAATAAATGAAAATGAGGCTCACTTGTTAATATTAGGGGTTAAAGTATGAAATTGCCGTTTTATTGCAATAGGTTCTTTGAATTTTCATAGAATCTTCATGGTTTGAGGTTTTCGAATGAAACTTTTTTCAAATGGTTTCTGTGATTTTTTTTTTTTTTTAAATTTGAAACATTTGAATATCGACTTTCAATTGTTTTTGTTATTCAATTTAGACAAGAAAGATGGATACTGCGAAAATTCGAGTGATTTTTGAATACGAGTTCCGACGCGGAACTAACGCGGCAGAAACAGCCCGCAATATCAATGCTGCGTTTGGAGAGGGGTCTACTAATGAACGCACCGTGCGATTTTGGTTTAAACGCTTTCGTGATGGAAATTTCGACTTAAAGAACGAGCCACGAGGAAGACCGCCCACACAGGTGAATAACGATGAATTAAGAGAGATAGTGGAAGCCGATCCTAGTCAAACTACCCAGGAATTAGCGGCATGGTTTAACGTTACCTTACCCACAATATTGACTCACTTGCGTCAAATCAATAAAATAAAAAAATACGAAAAATGGGTGCCTCATGATTTGACTGATCTGCAGAAAGAAACGCGTGTTGAAACTTGTGTTGCCTTGTTGAACCGGTACAGAAATGAAGGAATATTGGATCGAATTGTAACATGTGATGAAAAGTGGATTCTTTATGATAACCGGAAAAGAAAAATGCAATGGCTGACCCCAGGTCAAATGCCACAACAGTGTCCTAAAGCAAAACTTACCAATAAAAAGGTAATGGTAACTGTTTGGTGGTCTCAGCATGGTGTTATTCACTATAGTTTTCTCCGATCTGGTCAAGCAATAACGGCAGATGTCTATTGTGCCGAACTCCGAACCATGTTGACAAAACTAGCAGTAAAACAGCCCCGACTCATGAATCGATCTTCACCATTATTGCTCCACGACAACGCGAGACCTCACACAGCACGAGAAACCATTTTGACCCTTCAGGAACTGCAGTTAGAAACCATTCGTCATCCTCCGTATTCACCAGACCTTGCTCCAACGGACTACCATTTTTTTCGTGATTTGGACAATTATCTACGTGACAAGAAGTTTTCTTCCCAGGAGGCAGTACAAAATGCTTTCACACAGTTTGTGCAGTCTAGATCGTCGGAGTTCTATCGCAAAGGCATTAATAACCTTCCCATTAGATGGCAGCAATGTATAGATAATAATGGCAACTATTTTGATTAAATAAATTTGTTAAAAATTTAAAAAATAAACAATTTAGATTTTCAGTACAAATCGGCAATTTCATACTTTAACCCCTATTATTATAATGATTTATTACGTTATGTGTCGCACTTAATGATACGTAAAGTATGACTGAATCCTGTCTGTTTATTGATATGAACCTGTCCGTACGTTTTTGTGAAAAAGAGCAAGGCTATCTTTTATCTCGCTCAATTTTATTCAAGTCGAGCGACAGTTGGAGTGTACTTGGTGTTACAACGGTTTATGATTAAATCTTGAAACATGGAAATTTTGAGTTATTTCTTTGTTTGAATAAGCGTGCGATATATCCTATATTTTGCTGAAAACTACTATCTGAGAATTTTACCATAATAGTGTCTATGCAATAATACTTAAAAATATGTCACGCATTTAGTTTCCGCTTAGATCCAAGAAAACTTTAAATTTCAAGTCCATATATTTTGTATTTCGATCCTCCTATCCAATTATACCCTACTAGCATTTTCCTTTCTAGTAAAGGTCATCATGCTGATGTATACTATTATTTTTACAGGATAAATGCACATTGAATTGTATGGAAAAGTACCTGAGAACAAATCAGAGAGTGTCGCAGCGATTCCATGAGTTTCAAATGATAGCCAATGAAAATATGATGGCACTGGCCCAGAAGTCAGGAAATCCAAGCTAAGACTAGGTTTCTAGTACAAATTTTAGTTATTTACTTTATTAGATTATATTGGTGAATAAAATATTGTTCAACAACACAAACATGTTTCACATTAATTCAATTATATTTCCTGAGATAAATTGTAAGGTAGGTAACGATTACTTCAGTTACATACACATATGTATTATTCAGATTTTTTTTTGGAAATAGCTCCAATAGTTTTGTTATGATTTATAATACAAAGATTATGCACATAGAATATTAATTATTTTTTTGAATAGATATTCAATTATTTTTTGTGACATTACTCGACTAGTTTGTTATAATTATTAATATAAAGATCGAATACTTACAAAAAATTCCTTCGATCCGGCCAGATTTGTACCTACCTAGCAAACCGTGCCAGACGCTGTGCCAACTAAGCTAACCAGGCTAAAAAGTCGTTGAAAACTAAATACAAAGATCCGACAAACATACAACAAGCACATAGAATTTTTATTCTTCAACCTGGTGGGATACCCATCCGAACCGAGTCGACGTAATTTTTCAGTGTTTGATCTTTGTATCAATAATCATACATACACATCTATACACACACAAGCAACCAATAATGTTGATGAGCTGCAGTGATTCGTGAAAATATGCCAAAATTTGAAGGATGAAAGAATTGTATCACATTACTTTTTAATAATATTTCTGTTTAAGGTTTGTTTTGAATTGGTTCTTTGAAAATAAAAGTTCAATATATTTGCGTAGATCACTTTATTGCTTCAAAAGATTTTTTTTACTACAACTATTTTATGGTGGAACTTGTTGGTTATATTTAAGCCAAATAGGATACGACATCGAGGAACAGGAGATAGATACTATTTTTCTATTCGTTGATGTAAAATTTTAGTCATTATCTTTTTCTTCAAACAATATTGACTGTATTTAATCCAAATAGTGAAAAACACATTATCTGTTGCTATAGAATCGTGAATATCGATGAGTATGCGCCATATCATTTTGGTGAGTTAGCAAGGCGCCAAACAACTTGGTGCGCAAGGTATACACGGGTCCTTTGGGCACGGTTTGTAGCATCTCTGCTCTGGTGGCGAAAAATCTAGTACAAATGAAGTTTGGGAGCTGGTGTAATCGAAGCAGTAGTCATTATATTTCGCTTCTAAACTGAATTTGACGCCATCATCTTTTTCGTTTGGATCACAATTCAATACGTATTTCAGTGGATAGGGGCCCGATGGTGAATTGTCGGGTGGATCGGTGATAATGGAGTATCGACCAGCATGGCGGATAACTCTGAGGTAAGGTGCTGAAGATTCCGCCGTACAACAAGGCTCGGCTTTATAAGTTTCGGACTTGCAAAGATCTAACTTATTACTTTCAGAATGAGTATGTTCAGACTTATTCAGATCCGTTGCATAAGGATCCGTTTTATTAGAACCTGATAAATTACGATTTGATTTATGAGGATCTGACTCATTATATTTAGTGTTATTAGTTTCGGATTTCGAAGAGACATCACTGATCTTTTTTTTCTGTTGGGCAGGCGCGGAACATTTTGGTGGTATACCACAGGGGTTAAGATTAGTTTTGTTACATGCTGCTGCGCAGGTTTCCATGCATACTCCACATTTGCGTTGGTGCGCAGCTATTTTGCGGAGAACAATGTTAGAAATGTGTCCCGGTCGCCAGCCACATCGTAACTGTAAACAATATTTAGAATTTATTTTTCTAATAATTTTTGTTTCATATTAATTATTATATAGGTCAATTATTATATATTACTTAAATTATAATATAGATCAGTGTTAATAATAACTTATGTTATCTATTTTATATGATACACAGAGTGCTAACAAATTACACTCAAGCAAGACTCAAGCCTAATTCGTTAGACAAAGTTAAATAACAATACGTTGCTAGGCAACCAATAAGTGCAGATGGAAAGAACATTTTTGTCAATGCTTATTTAGGCTAGCTCAACCATGGTCTGCGCGCAAGTGGAATTTAAACAGATAAGTCTTAGGTAAGTAGATATTAGATTAGGTATGTATAAGGAACACTTACCTAGCCAATTATTGTAAAGTTTACAAAGTAGATACCTACCTATTGATACGTATGATTTGATTTGTGAGTTCTGGATTGTAATCTCAGTACAGAGTACTAAAAAAACCGACATAAGTACGTGGAATTACGTCTATTTGCTAAGTTTTATTGAAATATCCCCTAGTTCGCCACTATACAGGACTTGACACTGGAGATAATAAAAATCGGTTCTCACTATATTGAGAGAAAAACGCCTTGAATTGAAGAAATAGCAAAATCAACCATTAAAGTAATTGCTCCTAAATTAAAATTAGGCGCTATTTATAAAAATGAATCTTCATGCGTGAACAGCCACCCTTCGAGGTGGATGATTTTCTTCCAATTGAAATGGGGCCACTATGGAAGTACCCCCTTTTCAACAAAAAAAGAGTCGTGAAAATCGGTTCACAAATACTGAAGTTATCGCGTAACATACATACAAAAAAAGAAAATACAGTCGAATTGAGAACCTCCTCCTTTTTTGAAGTCGGTTAAAAAATAGAGTAGTGTTGGGTAGGACATGAAATTAAAATAAGTTTCGAGGGACTACCTCATTTGAAAAATGAGGTAGTCCCTCAAATGAGGTTGAACATTTCAATGCTTCAGCGAAAGCTCCCGAAGTAAATGATAAATTAATTAAATGAGTTCTCGCAACTTGACGTCAAGGCGCTTATTTTGTTTTGACAATTATTTCATTAATACTGGCTTTTACTATTTTCGTGCCAATTTCATCATAACCTTCAGAGTTCGTGTTTTTTAATGACGTCACTTCCCGCTTTACTATATCTTCTGTTATAGGTGATAAAAACATTGAGTTACCGAGCATTTTAGTCATGGGATTATTATCTGATCGAGTTAAGTAATTTTTCTTCACAAAAAATTTTCTAATTTCAGCCTTAATAATCGACCATGTCGCTTTACATTTATTGGTACCGTTATTTATAAATTTTGCATTGGCGTTTTTCTTTGATCTGTAAATACTTCTTAACATTTTGGAATAGTTTAGATATTTATATTTAATGTTTTCCGTCTTGTTAGCATAATACTGGTATCGTAATTTACGTTTACTTTTAGCACTTTTCCGTAATTCACAACTTATCCATTTTTGTCCCTTATCGTTGATATGTATTTTAATTCGAATCTTTGGAAAACAGGAATTATATAATATAATAAATTTCATGAAGTTCATCAAACGCTACACTAAGATCTGGCTCTGTAAATACTGTAGACCATGAAAGTGCATTCAAATATTCTCTGTATTTTCTAATATTTTGCAAAGAAAAATCTCTTTGGTAAATAAGAATTTTAATTTTGGAGGCATATGCTGTACAGGAAAACTTAGTAATTGTGCAGTGTCATGATCGGAAAGATACAGGGGCAACACACTAGCATTTGAATTCTTTATATTGCTAAAAATATGATCTATACAGGAGTGTTTGCGCGTGGGCACATTAATATGAATTAAATATTCATATTAATGTGCCCACGTTATGATTTTGTGCTACTGCCTGTAACTGGATTGTTGTCCTTCCTGGTTTTAATGTATTAATATTAAAGTCACAAGCGACGACAATATTTACCTTATACTTTTTATGTATTTCATGTAATAAACAGTCTAACTTATACAAGAAAAGAGTTGAATCTGAAGGAGGGTTTTTGTACGCGCATATAATAATTAGTCTGTGTACTGGGATTTCTATTCCGCATATTTCAAATAACATTTGAATTGCCATATTTTTTATGAAAAGTAGTTCGTTTTATACTGTGCCCTGTTTTACTACGATACAAGTTCCTCCTCTTCGTGTGTCTCGGCAAAAAGTTGCAGCCAGACTATAATTCTGTATTTTTAAGTAATTAACTTGGTCTGAACTTAAAAATGTTTCAGATAAACATATTATGTCCAAATTTATATTTTGCTATCGTAAGCCTATTAGCGTTAATTCTAATAATTCTTGCTTAGCCAAAACACTACTAATATTTTGATGAATTATTCTAAAATGTGATGTTAGCTGTTCAGCAGTCTTATGTACGAAAAAGATTCTTCTTATTTAATACTTGGAAATAGAATGGTATCGTACCCTTTTTGGCATTTTTTAAACTTCTGTCATTTTGTTGTTTTGTAGGGCCTGTATCAGAGTTAGTTTTAATCATTGGTTTTAATGCGTGAAAAGTGGTATGGTATCGTACCTTTCTTACGTCTTTTGTTACTTATTCTAGAGTGTAGTCTATTACTTGCCATCATTTTTCTTATTTCCTTAAAGTTTAAATATCTACTATTGTAATCCTCGCAGTCTATAACATAGTTGATTGATTTACAAATGTCAAATAGGGTATAGTGTTCGCATTCAACAAACGACAATGTTTGTATTTGTTGCTAATACTATTATTTAATTGGTAAACATTGATAAAATTATGTTTAAAAACATTCAAGAAAATTATAGTATCGTTAGGAAATTTTTCAATCAAGTCTGGGAAACTAAACTTTTCAAACACAAATTATTAGTTTATCGTTGTCTTGTAATTGGGTTTCAAGGCCTCTTTTTAATATGTCTCTGCTTTGTGTTACTTTTTTAAGTAAGTTAAAGATTCAATTTGTCGAAAACATTGTGTACCTCTATGAATAAATCCTAGCATTTTATGTTAATAGCAGTAGAGTACCTTGTGAAAGAGTTCGTCCAGAGAAGTACTGCAAACTTACTTATTTCTGCCGCCAAGCAGTAATGTGAGCAATACTAAGGGTGCTGGCAAAATTACAGGCACGTGGGACTTGGTCAACTTGTCTCAGAATAACGGGCGCAATGGCCTCAGATCTTTGCGAGTTGAAGCTCTGAGCGGCACTGCAATTATTATGGACAGGCATTTCGCTTACAACCACACACACGACTTGTTCGTACCGTTATTTGTATCATTATCATTGTATCATAAACAAATAGAGAAAATCTTAATTTGAATAGGTGTGTTTAAAAAAGTCCTGATCACCTGATGTCGAGGAGCACCTTTTGCCGTGTAGAGCCATCCCATATGTTTAGGAATCGGTCCTGGTTGCACTTCCTCTCTAGACAGGCATTTATGCTTAGGTAGATCGCAGCGTCCTAGGCACACTGTTGGCACTTTACAACCTAACAATATGAAAAGTTTATATGTTATGAGTGGAATAATTTTAATATTAGCTAATAAATAATGTTACTTACCTATGTATATGGTTTTATGTAGTGATTGTAAAGGCTGCAATAAAAATGTTCAACGTATTTTTGGCGGATGAACGTATGTCTACATACATTTTGTAAAAAAAATGTTCCAATTGACCTACGCATTTTTAACATTAGACATGTTAAGCCCGAAATTCTATTTTCTCATGTTTGTTGTGAAGAGATATTTTGTGTTAGGTACGTCTATTTTATAGCTAAAAGACAGTTATTTTTTAATATTAACTAATCAGGATATTCACTTACACCTTGATTTTGCACAGCAACACGCCATAGTTGTCTATAACAATCTAAGAAAATGGTTCGGCACTGTTAAGATAGGCAGGATGGTTGATCAAGTGCAAATCCATCGATCCCAGAACTTCGATATTTCTTAAAAATCTTTTTATAACCCAGATGGCCGGATGACTTTCAGAAGGCAGGAGGAAAAGATCATCACTCAGGCAGCGCAGAAAAAAGTTTTAGGCAATGAAAGATGGTTGAGGCTATGTTAAGGCAGAAGACGGCGGTTCTTGATGATAAAATGTACTCAAGTCTATCATGATGTCCACCAAAATGTTTCGCCCGTTTTAGTTGTTACTTTTTTGATTGGTAACTATTATTACTACATTTTATTGTTTGTGATTGAAAATCTGAACAAAGGGATCGTATGGATCGTACGATTCGGATTGACAATGAGATTTTTAGTTGTTTCATCCAAAGAGTATCTATCAAATTTGGTTTTATGTGGCTGTAAATTTTTCTTTCAAGCCAATCGTTTAAATCGCGCGTAGGATCTTTTTATAATAACCCTTTTTGTAATAGGTAACCATATTCAAGTATACAAAGCTGCCACTTGTTGTTTTAAGAACAGGGAGGAAGTTCGACTCAATTCGACTGTATTTTTGTGCGTGTATGTTACGCGATTACTCTATTTACTACGATTTGTGAACTAATTTCTATGATTCTTTTTTTGTTGGAAAGAGGGTACCTCATTGTTGGTTCCATTTAAATTTGAAGTATTCCAAACTAGGCGATGAATTCGGTTTCGCGCACTTTCCGGTAACCGATTTCAAGAAAACTTCGCAAATGTACATAGGTAGGTAATTTAACGAACTTTTGAGGTTGGTTTTGTTTAAAAAAAGGTACATTTATTAAAGTTAATGAACGTTATGTTAATAACACACCATTTGCAAAATGCAATGATGTTATATAGGTAAAATCGGTATAATTTGTATTTTTATACGTATTCTTTTGTGTTTTTTTCCAGGGTTCCATAAAACACGATTCGGTTCGGCTTGACTAAAGTGGTTTTCCATCTGCGAGGCGAGACGACTTGAGGAGAGATGCGCGTGCTCGGGCGAGCCATTGCGATCTCGCGTGAGCGCGCGCTGTAATCACAGCGCGTGGATAGTGAAGATTCAGTGCTGTTCAGTTATCTAGCGACAAATACGCGGCAGAAATAACATGTTCCGTAAATTATTATTATTAAATATGTTAACGAAAGAAGAGTTAGATAAATTTTTTATTTTTTATTTTTATAACATTAAGTGACGGGACGGGCAAGTCGTGCGCCTGATGGTAAGCTACACGCCTGTCCATCCAGTCCAACAGTTACAGTACCACTCAGAGTTTTAAAACGCAAACATTTGAGGGGCACTATCACTGCTCCTCACCCTGAGACATAAGTTGACAAGTGCCTGTGCTTGTAATTTCACCAGCGCCCTTACCTTTTACCTTAAACCGGAACACAGTAATGCTGACATTACTGCTTGGCGGCAGAAATAGGTAAGGTAGGTAAGGCAGTACCACCCTGTACGAACTATTTCACTAACAAAAAAATAAAAAATCTTTGTTTTCAAAACTCAAATCGAACCTACCCACAATCCCGCGATGGATATTAATAGACATCGCGAGCTCGCACGAAAAATCGTGTTTCCGTTGCAGAGTATAATACTCTATGTTGGCAGTATTAGCAATATTACACTAACAAATATTTCAGTTCTCGCCTCGCTTATCGTCTTCAAACCAGACCATTTCCACTTCAAAATTTTGTCATACACATTTCAAACTCGTCTCGCTTAGTCTCGTCTTGCGTGACAGGTGGAAAACCATCTTAAAATATTATACCTATTATTATACAATGTACGATATTTTTGGATGTGTAATGGAAGATATAACAACAAATTAATAATCTATTTTCATTTTATTAACCTACTATTTTTTAAGGTTTGACGGACTTGTGGCATGTCCTGCGAATGTGCTTGAAATATCGGCTGCAAGCGCGCCTAAAGCATCACCACCACTCTAACTGAGGTATGTCCGTGCAACGAGTAGACTCTTCTCAGCTCTCCATGAGCAAAGGCCCATGCAGACAAAGTATCACATTATTAGAGATGATTCGTGCAACCGATAAACGTAGTCCTATCAAAAAAGGTGTTGCGTACCCTTGCCGACACACATGCGTACTCTTAGTATAGTGTGAGCGTACGCAAATCCCATTATGCACTTTGTTATTAATTACCACCACACTATTAAATATAACTACTTTTCACGTTAGTATGTAAGAGTCAGATAAGTAGACTATAAAATAATAGCCGATTTTTTAGCACTTTTTGATTTCATCCTACTCCGTCTCAAACCTTAAGTAAGTCTTAAACCAGGCTACCCTATAATCATTCTTTGGATGTAATCAACAAAAGGTACAACATCAAAAGGCATAATTTCAATGTGTATAATAAACCTATTCTATCCTATTCTATTCTATTCTATTCTATTCTATTCTATTCTATTCTATTCTATTCTATTCTATAATTAACAAATGGTATAAATACTACTAATATAATGTTTTATATAATATAACTATTAAATAATAAAAGTTTAAGCAGAATATTTACATTTTTTTGGGATTGATATTCAATTATGTTTTTGTGAAATTATTCCACTAGGTTGTTATAATTACTAATACATATAAAAATGTCTACGGGAGTAACGTTTGGTATCCTCTCAACCTTTGACCATCTCTCACAGCAGTGGGAAAGCTATAAATCAAGGTTAAATCAATGGTTTATCGCTAATGATATAACCAATGACACCTCTATTCCCACTTCACTCCCAAGCGGTGCGGGTTCGCAGAGAAATCTACCATCTATGCGGCAACACAACGGCCAGGCGAGAGTCACACTCAATGGGCGGCCAGGATTAGGGGATTGACAGCACATTGTGGTTTTAAGAACTTGGAGGAGGCCCTGTTAGGCAAATTCATAATGGGCATGGCAGCAGGACACGAAAAGGACAAGCTGTTCGCGCAGGAGCTGACGCTGGTCAAGGCCATTGTGGAGAGCGTGCGGTGCGCACGCCAAGCCGCCAGGGTGGCAACAGGTGCGAGCAGCGCGGGTACGTCGGGCTCAGCCGACCCAGACGCGGTGTTCAACATCTCCAGCATAATACTACTACAGCAGATAAGTCTAGTGTGTGCGGGTTTACCAATCATAAAACCAATCAGTGCCGTTATAAAAACTATAAATGCAAAAAATGTAACACTAAAGGTCACCTGCGTAAGATGTGTACCCAAGAGGGCAAGGTGAAATACGTCGAGGAAGGTACTGTGGACGAGGGTGATGACGGTTAGTATTTTTATAATATTCGATGTGTTAAAGGGAAACCGATGACGGAGCGTGTCAGTATAAGTGGTCTGTATTTAGAGTTCGAAATAGATAGCGGGTCGGCGGTAAGTGTAATGTCGGAAAACACTTATAATTCTTATTTTAAAAATTTACCGTTGTCCGCATTGACTTTTGTAAGTCAATTGTTGTCCGCCACCAACAAAAAATTATAAGGGTACACAGGCGACAGCATAGAAATAACCGGTTTTGTTTGCTAACCGATTTCGTACAGCGGCTTGACTTGCTCTCTGTGCGTATATATAGTACGAAACGGTGGGCCGCTGTTGCTTGGCAGGGATTTCATTCACACGTTAACTTAAAACTTGCGCCCGCGCCGAGAGGTGTGCGCTCCGTGTTTAAACAGGATATTGAGCAATGCGACGAAAGTATGATACATGAATTAGTTTCTAAATTCCCACATGCTTTTTCCGGAAATCTTGGGAAATTTAATAAACATACAGTAGAATTACACTTAAAGTCAGACGCTAAACCGATTTTTTTCAAGGCTAGACCGATACCTTACGCGCTCAGAGAAAAAATCGACAAAGAATTGGACCGTTTAATTGGATTAGGTATTTTGACACCAGTCGAGCATTCAAAGTACGCGGTACCGAAAGTGCCTACCTTGAAAAGGGACGGTACAATCCGTTTATGTGCCGACTATTCCGTCACTGTTAATAAACAAATAATTGTCGACCAGTATCCTCTACCCACAGTAAATGACTTATTGTCCAAGCTACACGGGTGTGTTCAATTTAGTAAAATTGATTTGTCAATGGCTTACAACCAATTCGTGTTAAGTGACAAATCACAGAAATTAACTTGCATCAACACACACCGCGGTTTGTTTAATTATACTAGGCTGGTGTTCGGCTTGTCGTGCGCTCCAGCTATATTCCAGCGCTCCATGGAGTGTGTGCTTGCGGGAATTGAGGGAATAATCTTCCTGTTGGACGACATCCTGGTTACCGGGAGGACCAAAGAGGCACATAAACAACGCCTCGTCGCAGTGTTACAGCGTTTAGAAAATGCGCAATTGACTGTGCAGATGAGTAAATGTGAGTTTTTCAAAGACGAAATTTCATACCTCGGCCACGTCATAGACAGATACGGAGTTAGGAAATCGCGGGATAAAGTCAAAGCTATTCTCTATATACTCAAATGATAATCAATATGAAGAACAACACATCAACAATTAGTTTAGCTACTTTTAACTGTAAGAATGTTAAAAGATCAATGAACTGCGTGCGATCGTTATGTGATTCAGCTGATATTATAGCCCTGCAAGAAACATGGTTACTACCGGATGAGTTATCCTGTCTTGAGGATATACATCCGGAATTTAGCTACACAGGAAACCTCAGTGGATACGTCTGCAGGAATTCTAAGGTGAAGACCTTACGGGGGAGTAGCCATATTATGGCGAAAAAGTATTTTCCAATCTGTGTCGATCGTGCAAAGTGAAAATAACCAGTTTTGTGCTATTAGTGTTTCGATAAACAATATAACTTCTATGGTAATAAATGTGTATATGCCAACGGGCATTGCTGAAAACCTTCCTTTATTTACTGAACATCTTGGTCAAATGTATGCCATGATAGAAAATAGTGGTATTGAGTCAGTATTTGTGTTAGGCGATTTTAACGCGCACCCTGGTGAGTCTTTGTGATGAGCTTTTGGAATTTTGCTCAGAACATTGGTATCTATGTCCTGTATCTTGGTCCGGGAAATTTACTTTTATAAGTGAGGCTCACGGATGTAGGCGCTGGCTGGATCACTGTATAGCCACACGTTCGGCTGGACAAACCATAGTTAATGGGAAGGTTGTGTATGATTCATACTGGTCGGACCATTTTCCAATGCTGATAAAGTGTAACATTGGTACTATTCAGGTAAAGACTACGGTTAATAGATCAGTTTATAATGAAGCTTTTTGGGGCGAACGAGATCTTCAGGAAATTTGTATTTACACTGAATACTGTGATAATAAATTAAGATCAATTGATTTATTACCTGAGTTTACTTGCTGTGCCGATAATTGGTGTCATGATCCGTTACATGAAAATTTTATTCAGGACTTGTATACAAAAATTGTAAGGACACTGCGCGAGGGTGCTATTCATAGTAGAAACACTGTGTTACGCAATAACAAACTAAGGGGTGTAAAAGGCTGGAACAAATACGTGAAAGATGTGATGTGCAGGCAAGGCGTGCTTTTCAAACCTGGATTTCTTATGGGCAACCTCACAGTGGTCCCGTATTTGAAAATATGAAAACTAAGCGCAAAGTTTTCAAATCAAAGTTAAAATGGTGTGTTAATAATCAGAATCAGTTTGAGATGGACAAATTGGTCGCACTTCATTCTGATAAGCAATTTTCAGAATTTTGGAAAGGTACCAAAAGGCTGAATAGAAAGATAAGTTTACCCATTTGTATAAACGGAATAACCGAGCCGTCAGAAATTGCAAATCTTTTTAAAGAGCATTTTAAAGTCACATCGCCTCTCGGGCCGGGCGCCGGGCGGCGCGACAGGTGCGCGGTGGGGAGTCTGCGCGGCCGGGTGCACGTCTCATTTTCACATGCAAAGAAGTCAATGATGTAATTAGTATTATGAAAAGAGGAAAGCCGCCTGGTAACGACGGGCTCAGCTTCGAGCATCTGCAGCATGCGGGCGCACACCTTCCGCGAGTATTAACTTTGCTATTCAACCTATGCCTAGGGCATTAGTACATACCACAAAATTTAATGCAAACCGTAGTTGTACCGATTGTGAAGAATGGGATAGGAGATATAACGGACAAGGGAAATTACAGACCCATATCTCATGCTAATGTGATAGCCAAGGTGTTTGATAGTGTGCTTGACCGTCGTCTTGTTGAACACACCAGGCTACACGATGCCCAGTTTGGCTTCCGGGCGGGGTCAGTGGACACACTGAGAGTGCGATACTGGCTTTAAATCACACTTCCAAATACTACCTAGATCGAAATACCCCCGTGTACGCGTGTTTCCTGGTCCTCTCTAAAGCTTTTGATCTTGTGTCGTACGATGTACTGTGGGAAAAGCTTGAGAGGGCGGGTGTCCCTGCCGAACTGGTTAGTATTTTGTCGTATTGGTACCAAAATCAGACGAATAATGTAAAATGGGCCAATGTATTATCTGATCAATATAGACTTGAGTGCGGGGTGAGACAGGGGGGTTAACCTCTCCTAGACTCTTTAATATTTATGTAGACCAGCTAATCAGAGAGCTTAGCAGAACCTATGTCGGATGCCATATAGAGCATGTATGCTTTAATAATATAAGTTACACCGATGACATGGTGCTGCTGGGGCCCACAGTTGGCAGTTTGCGTAAATCAGTGGCTATTTGTGAAGCTTATGCTGAAAAACATGGTCTGAAGTACAACTCCAAAAAGAGTGAGCTCGTGGTATTTAAAGGCAGAAACAGACCTCCTGCCTCAGTCCCTCCTGTTTACCTCAATGATTCGCCATTGCAAAGAGTTGCGCGGTTTAGGTACCTTGGGCACATTGTGAACGAAGACCTGAAAGATGACTGCGATATAGAAAGGGAACGCAGGGCGCAGTCTGTAAGGGGGAACATGCTGGCTCGGAGATTTGCTGGTTGTTCACTTGATGTCAAGGTCACGCTTTTCAAGGCATATTGCCAAACGTTCTACACCAGCAGTCTATGGACTAGTTATACTCAAAGATCGTACAGCGCCCTGAGCATATTGTATAACAACCTGTTCCGGTTGATGGTGGGGCTTCCTCGTCACTGCAGTGCGTCAGGTATGTTTGCTGCTGCGCACACAGACGACTTTTGCCTCATTAATACGCAGAGTGCGGGGAAACGCCAACAGTCTCCTGCAAGTTGTCGCGGGAAGGCTGGACAGTGCTGTGCTAGGCAGGTTCAACGAGCTGCACGCTACACGTGCGCCTCGGTGACCGAGCCGACAGTAGTGTATCTGCTATTAATTATTATTACTATACTACATTGACTTATAATTGTAAGTCAATGCTATACCAACATAGTTATTAAGGGTTTTGTTTACTAACAATCTATGGACCATTTAGTTGTCTGAGAATAAAGATATTTTATTTTTATTTTTTTTATTTATTCTCGAAGCGCCTAAGCCGCTGAATGTTCCGCAGTTACAGTCATTTCTCGGACTTACAAACTATTACAGGAATTTTGTGCCAAATGCATCGTCAATACTAAGCCCTTTATATAATTTAGTAAGGAAAAATGAAAAATGGCATTGGTCGCCTCTACATGACGATGCGTTTAGTAGAAAAAAAAAACATTCTAGCTTCTGATGAAACATTAGCTCACTTTGATCCAAATGCAACGCTAATTTTAACCGTGGATGAGTCCCCGACGGGGGTTGCTGCAATCATTTCGCAAATAGGTAACGATAGGTTGGAGAGGCCTATATCGTATCGCGAACGCTAACGTCAGCTGAAAAAAAAAATGCGCAAATTCAGAAAGAAGCGACAGCTATTATTTTCGGTGTCAGGCGGTATCACTAGTACCTATATGGTCGTTCCATACCCTTTGTACTACGGACAGATCTTAATCCACTGCTGTCAATATTCGGTCCGTATAAAGGCATTCCCGAAGTATCGGCTAACAGATTGCAGCGATACGCGATTTTCCTGGCAGCTTATAATTATAAGATCGAATATATCACTAGTAAACAAAATAGTGCCGACTTCTTATCGCGAGCGTGTGCACCGGAACAGGAGCCTGCGCGGGGCACGCGTTGCGGGGCTGAGGGCGAGGAGAGCGCGGCTTATATCAACTTTGTATTAGAGGGCAGCCTACCGGTAACTTTGAGCGATTTGCAACGAGAAACAATTTGATGATTTGAAGATTTGCAAAGAGAAAAAAAAAATCGAGCGCGATGCCTTACTTACTAAGGCAAGCTAAGCGTTCTGTCTTACAAGGATGGCATAAAAAGATAGGTGATTTAGATTTAAAACCCTATTTTATCTGTCGTCTACAGCTATCGTATGGAAACGGTTGTGGTTCCCCGGCGTGACGCGGCGCTGGAGATGCTGACGGGGGCGCTTGCAACGCGCGCGCTGCTTGCGTCCTGGCCGCTGCCGCCGCATCCGTTTTATCGGGTTCATCTAGTCTTCCTGGGCCCGTTTAACAATCAAATGTTTTTAATAGCTGTAGATGCCTATAGTAAATAGGTTGAATGTTACAATATGAATACAAGTTACGGTTCCAAGGCGGATATGGAGAGATTGTATGAGTTGATGTCCTTATATTTTGATCTTGATCCTTGTATTTGAACAGGCCTTTAGATTCGTACTGTTTTAAATAGCACTACACTAATGATTATCTGACTACAGATCTGCTATTAAATATTAATGGAGTCATTAAATGAACGTCCAATTAATGTGATCTATCCTGTATTAATTTCTTACTTACTAACTCATATTAAGTGCGTATAAGTTAATTACGAATAAGTATAGATACACTTTGCCCAATGTCAAAAGTAGCACAGATAAACATTTAGTATTAGTAACAGTCAGTATTTCAACGAATGACTGACGGATTAGACAGATCACACCGCATATATAATTTAGCAATTGGCGAAATCATCGCTTGTTTCGATGGAGCTATAGCATTTAAAAGAAGAAGAAGAAGAATAATAATGAATAAATTTATTCAGTGTTTTATGTTATTTGTTGTGTTAACATCGTGGAGTCAATGCGTAGCATTTAAAATTCTATTTATTTTACCTTACAATGGAACCAGTCACCACATTTATTACACGCCGTTAATCGAGGAACTGGCAAAAAGAAATCACGAAGTGACCGTAGTGAATTATTTACCGATGGAGAATACAACAAATATAAAGCAAATTTCACTAAGAGATAGAGTAAATGTTAATAGTAGAAAAGTGATAATGAAGCAGTATTATCAAAACCTTCCAACTTACCTGAGTGATGTTTTCTTATTAACTGAAAACGTGCACGCTCAACAGGAAGTGGCTAGGTTTAACTGCGAAAAGATATTCTCTAACAATGAAATACTAAAACTGATCAAACATGAAGAGAAGTTCGATGTTTTCGTACTGGAACAGTTTTACAGTGATTGTGGACTCGCTTGGGCGAATAAATTGGGTGTCCCTATTATAGGCATAACTGCCCATATTTTAATGCCTTGGACTTATACTAGATTGGGTGCGCCAAGTAATCCAGCATTTGTTCCAAGTCGCATTGGTAAAAACGGATTGTGGGCGAGGATAAAAACAGTGTTTCTGAATATATACTCAATGTTCTTTTATCGGCATTACATTCAGAAGACTGACCAGACTATTGCGTCACGTGTGCTCCCTAATACGCCTGATTTGGAAAATATTGCCAAAAATTTGTCTCTAGTAATGATCAACCAATACTTCCCGCTGACCGGCTCTCGTATTTACGCATCAAATGTTGTTGAAATTGGTGGTATGCATATTAAACAGCACGGAATTACGGACGAGGTAGGTAATTTAAATGAATAATTTGTGAGAGCAGGCATTGACCTACCCAACAATGTGACCAGGTATTATTCTACGAGTGTCACATATTGTCAGAACATTGTCTAGAAACGCTGACGCACATTTTTTAAAATATTTTCAGATGTTATTACAATTTATAGAAAGTGCACAACATGGAATCGTTTACATTAGTTTTGGCAGTGTGGCATGTGGCTTGTCGGACTATAAGATAGAAGCAATTCTTAAGGTAGTATCAAAATTTAAGCAGAAGTTTCTTTGGAAGGCAGATAACGTTGTCAAGACAATTTTACCACCAAATTTGATGATTCGATATTGGATCCCCCAAGTCGACGTGCTATGTAAGTAGCTGGGTATTTTTTAAATAATGAGTTAAATTTGCAACATAAGTATTTAAAGTTACAGACAGATACGTGTTATCGTTATTTTAAAATATATTTTTGTTAACGACATTGTTACTGTTTTTAATTGTATATTTCCTACTTCATTAATAAAATTATACTTGTGACAACTGTATTTGCTCCATCAAAGTATTGTCAGATTTGAAATTTTTTGTAACACAATACGTTGTTGTAAACGCAAACTATACAGAGATACTAAGTATGGTTGTAAATCAAGATATTGAACCGCTACTCATTTTCCTTTAGAACCAAACAATTAATTAGGAGTTATTTATGATGTGGAAACCGAATCTTAAATTGCCAGGTCACGTCAATGTCAAAGCTTTTGTGACTCATGCGGGAATGTTAAGTTCAACCGAAGCTATGCACTGTGGAGTTCCTGTGATCAGTATTCCCATCTTTGGAGATCAGTTTGCCAATGCTCAATCGACGAGGGAAAATGGTCTTGGAGTCACTCTTGATTACATGGACTTAGACGAGAGTACGTTAGGAATTGCGTTAGATGAAGTTCTTCAAGACAAGTAAGTTAAAACCACAAATTGATAAGAAGTTCTTCTTAAGAAGTACTCAAATTCAAACTCAAAGATTCTTTATTTCATAGGAAGCGAATTACACTTGAAATCGTAAAATTTATAAGGCTTTTGGCTTTTGACTTTAACTTAGAAATTTTTTATCTTTTTTCCTGCTATAACCCTATTGGTTTACATCTAAGGGTTAAGATGCGCCAATCAGAGCAATGCATGATATCATAAAAGTAAAAGAACAACGGAAGTAACCCATTTCCAGGTATGTGGAGTTAAAAAAGTCAGTGTTCTAGAACAATTTATATACAGCTCACCCACTGCTCACATGGCATTCTACTGCACATTCTTTGCAGTATAAATCTTACCGAATAAACAGTGACGCACGCATTATATATAAAACCGTTCATACGGTGTTTGTCCGTTGCAAAAAACGCACTTTTTTTGCAAACGGACAAACTCCGTGTCAAAGTCGAAGATCATTTATTCCATACATTGACTTACAAATTCCATAGGTAAAATAAATTTACACTTGAAAACTTCACATTTACATTACATTACATTAAGCTACTGCTCGTTCAGTTTGCTGACTTCCCTGAGAAGAACGAGCAAGAAACTCTAGGGACTGCTCTTTTCAAATAAACTTAAATGCTATGGAATATTATATTGTATTGAACCAAATTTGTGTGGATTCTGGAGCCGTGTCGGCTTTCCTTACATCTTTATGTAACACGTAGTCTTCAATTTTGTCATATTACAAAACTTTTCGATCAAAATATTTTTAATGTATTTTTTAAACTTAGGAAATAATAAACTTAATATTTGCTCCGGAATCTTATTGTAAAAACGTATACATTTCCCCATAAAAGAGTCGTTTACCTTGGTTTTACATTTTTACGGGCATATAAAATATTTGAGTAAATGTACTGTGATGCAACAGTCATGATACCAGTCTCCTTAAACTTTTCTCTGAGAGAAACCCGAGAGTCTAGACGGTACACAAAACGAATCGCTCATTTTTGCAATACAAATATAGTTTGAATATCTGCCGCTGTACCCCACATGAGGATCCCGTAGGACATTATATTATGGAAGTAACTAAAGTAAACTGGTCTAGCATTATTAACATCGGTAAGCTCACGTATTCTGCGGACTGCGTATGCAGCGGAGCTTAATCTGCTGGCCAGGGAAGATATATGTGGAAACAATTGAAGTTTACTATCTAAGGTCACTCCCAAGAAGACTGCTTTATTGACAAGGTCTAACTTTTCTCCGTTTATTTCTATGCTTGGACTAGTCGATTTTACGTTAGGTAATTCAAATTTGACACATTTTGTCTTCTTGGCATTAATCAATAAATTGTTAGCATTAGACCAATAAACAACCTTAGAGAGGGCATCATTAATATGGTCAATGTCATGTTAGTGTCATGTCATGTCTGCCTGTTTTAAAAATCAAGGATGTGTCATCAGCAAACAATACTATTTCGCAATGGTCCTTAACAAAGAATGGCAGATCATTAATATAAATCAGAAATAAGAAAGGTCCAAGTATTGTGCCCTGCGGAACACCCATTTTTAACAGAGAACCCAAAGAAATCACTCCATTTATGCCTACTTTCTGTATTCTACCGTTGAGATATTACCAGACAAGTCCCGACACCTTGCCATTTACACCGTAATGTTCCAGCTTCCTAATAAGAGTAATATGGTCAACGCAATCAAATGCCTTCGAGAGGTCACAGAAAACACCAATAGCGTTCTGGGAACTTTCCCAAGCATCAAAGATGTGTTTTAGTAACGCTACCCCCGCATCGCTAGTCGATCTACCACTATTAAACCCGTATTGTGCATTATGAAAAATATGATTCCTACCGAAATAGGACAGTAATTGAGTAACTAAGAATTCATAGTGTGGCTAATATGTTTGGCAAAGGCTGTATATAAATAACCTTTATATACAATTAAGTTTATTCAATGTCAGGATGTTTCACAACCATGATATTCAATAATTTTTTTGTGAAATTACTCCACTAGTTTGTTATAATTATTAATACAAAGATTTTTTTCTATATGCTTGTTGCAGATCTTTTGTTTTGGTTTTTAAATACTGACGAATGAAGAAATAGATTTCTCTCAGATGGAGCTATTGCAAAAGTCGTTAAAAACCAAAATAAAAAATTTGCAACCAGCACATAGAAAAATTCGTAAAGTCCACTGGTTCGTTCCTTGGCTTAGTACCAAGTTCGTAGGAATTTTTTTTCGATATTTGTATTAATAATTAGTAAATATTAATAATTATTAAGTACTAGATTAAATAGTCATATCTTTTAAGTTTGCTTCTCTTTTACAAATTGCGTGCTTTTTTCAGATACCAAACCCGAGCGAAATATTTATCGTCTATTTGGCGTGATCGACCAGTTTCGCCTTTAGATACTGCAGTGTTTTGGGTAGAGTATGTAGCTCGACATCGTGGCGCTCTAAATCTTCGACCACCTACCGTGAATTTACCCTTGTACCAGTACTTACTGTTAGATGTGTGGCTTATTATAGCAGCCATTTTGACATTAGTCTCCTACATTTTTATTAAATTGTTGTCATTTTGTTTAAATATGTATTGTGGGAGAATAAAAAAGGTTAATTGATAATTGATATTTTATTTTTGAAAATTTTACTTATGTGTCATTCGACATTTAAAATTTCGGTTGTAGTTGTAATTACACCCGTCTTCGATATTTCCATCAGTTGGCGTATTTTGCTAGAAACATGAAGTTATTATCAAGATAGGAGTAGGTCTTGCCAAGCTGCTGTTATGCTTTACGTCTTCTTGAAATCTGGAATAGTTAAAAACAGTGACTATAATTTTTTTGTTAATATTTATTAAACTTCATACTCCAAGTACCGACGGTTAAGTTCAACTTACTTTAGATCTATTTATTTTAATGTTGTATTTCTTAGGTATTTAGATTTTTGGGGCGAAGTCGCTTCCATAGAAAGAGTATAGTTAAAATCCGCACTCCATAGAGTTTTACAATCTTACCCCTTCCAGGTGACATTTTCATTATTTTAGTTTTTATGTTTGGCGAATATCTGATACATCCAGTCATGGAATACAGACCGTAGTTAAATAGGTTGAAATGTGTAAAAAATTTAAAAAACGTTGCTTTCTTCGTTGGTATTTTGAAGTCTGTAGTGCAATTGCTATGTATGTTAGGACTTCCGTGGCACTTGGCATATTTTGGCTTAAATTGGCTTTAAAATGGGTTTAATTGTAATTGAAAAAGAGTTTTCATAACGTTGTAAATGATTTTCTGCATTCAACACATCAAATGTTATAGCGATAGCATTTAATTTTTAATTTAAAAAATGCACAAGTATGTCATTATATCCTTATATCTATTCACAATCCGTAAAAATGAAAACAGGTAGGTAAGGTCAGTTAAAGTTGAGTTTTCATTTAAAATTCATTTAAATTTTTTTGCATCGAGGAAATAATCCTTCGGTGTAAAGGTATTTTTATGTATTCGGTATTGTCTGTGGTAATGTGCTGAACATTAGTATTTATCAGTGTGACTATCGACAATAAAGTTATATTATGATCCCTTTTTGATAGATCTCGCTATAATATATATACGAAGGGATAGTGCTTCTCCAAGCCGCGGGTGCGACAAATTGTCGCGGGTGAACAAGAACTATAAGAGCATGGAGGTCTTGGCATTATGCAGGGTCTGCTACAGGTTGCGTAACAGGTTGAATAACATGGATTGTTACAGGGTAAACGGGCGAATCTTCGGAGGACCGTGCAAGATACGTGACCTGGACGCCAACCGCATCGTAACTGTAAACAATTATTTTATATATTATTTTTATTCTACAATGATGAATCACTATAGCTACGTTTATTTCAGACAAATATGAGTTGCAATACATAAAGTATAATACAGTATTGTACAATACTGTACAATACTTAAAGTATATGAGTATATCGGTTGGAGGTGAAACAGATATTCGGTAACTATCCGGTATCCGGCCTATTTTTGCTATCCGGTCGGATGCCGGATACTAGAGCAATATCAGGCTGGACACCGGATGTTTAAAAAATTCATAATCAGTACGCCAAATAAAGTGATTTATTGATTAAAGATGATAGTAATGGACAGCAACTACAGGATCGTTGACAATCTGTTTATTACTTGTAACTCAAATATCTATAAAGTTAGGTAACGCTGCCTGTAAATTTAGTATATGACTTTCAATAAAGGCAAATTATGGTGGATGAAGACCAGTTTTTCTGTATTAAGTGGTAAAAGTTGGTTCTATTTATTTTTATAAAAGAGACCAGCTTCAGAGGGTTGTTTTTCAGTATAAACTCTTGCAAATTTTGTTAAAGGACTTGTACCGAATTAGTATGGAGCTTGGTACTTTATTCCCAGAAAAATTTAACCAGTCTCAATTTTTTTGCTAGATATAAGCTTGAAATAAAGAGCTTAGCAAAATAATTAAAAAAAATATTCGGACCTGCATTTTTTATTTATTTATTTAAAACAAAAGTATGGTAGATATATTAAATTAATTCCAGCAACACTGCAATACTAAAAAAAGTCCAAAAAGTCCTTAAACGTTAAAATATTCAAATCATAATTCTAGTTGGCTAGTTAAAATTGCAACAAGAACGACTTTGACATCTGAAGTGTCAATATTTTTTATGGCATTGGCCATTAGCGCATTAGCCAAAAAATTACATAAAAACCCGTTCGTTTCGTGGGATTGCGTTCCGTTTTACTTTACATAGTATTCAAAATCCCTAACGATTTTCTGGAAATTGCAGGTCAAAAATAATTTGTCTTAAATTCAGACTTTCTAGATATTGAGAGCTCTTTACAAAAAACCAACTAATATCCTGGTTAAATTTTCCATTTATTTTAGTATCACTAAAGGAACAACTCCTTTTAGTACTACTTATTATTTATTGCCAGACGACCAAATGAAAGATCGCGATAACAATCGTAATTTAAAATATCTTCAAATACAATGTGTACCTACAATAATGAAACGTATAAGTTTTTTTAATGTGAAAGTTCAATAATTCACTAATCAATTAATCACGGTGATGTGTTCTGTAAACTGTTTACGGCAGTGGGTCGGATATCTGGCTATCCGGCCTCGGTGCTCGCCGAATATCCGGTATCCGGCCAAATCACTCCGTTTCATCTCTAATATCGGTGGCCGAGCGACAACGAATACTATACATCTCTAGCCAATAGATAAGTAGATTCCGAGTTCAATTCCCGGCAGGAACTAATTAGGAAAGGAATTGTACAAAGATCGACCAAGCATCAAAAGAAATTCGATCCGACTGGACTCGAACCAGTGTCTGTTGACGCAATGTGGCTAACGCTCTTACCAATGAGCTTCGGATTGTGCCAACAGATCTTATGAATTTCTGTGTTTGTAGCGAATTTTTGTATTGGGTTTAAACATTGATCTACCAATAATGTTGGTAGGTCAATGGATTTAAACGACTCTTTCGCCGTAGCGCCACCTGTGAGACCTTATGAAAATTTCTCCACTCAGTCCTTTACAGCTACCAGAAAGCTGTCAGAGATGTCGCTATATTAATTGCAATATTTAATAGTAATATATTTTTGAAATTAGTTCGGTGTCTATACCACGTGTTTAATGTGCTAGTTGTCGCTACCTACTGCGTAAATTACTTCACAATTTTGAATGGCAAATTATACAGCGCCTTTAGAGATCACAAGAAGAAACAACATTTTGTATACAAACATTTTACGCGGTCGCTATCGAAAACTGTCACTGTAGTCTCATTGTAGAGGCACTGGCCAGTATTAGGTTGTACTTCCACAGTGAACATCATTACTGTGGTACTTTTGCATAGGAAATTTTCTAGATTTCGCCGAGGTTATAGGAGTAATAGGAGGTAGTTGTGTGGTATACAATGTAAAATGCTAATCACTTGATGTTCAGGAGAGTCTCTAGCCGTGTAGAGCCAACCCATATGCGCGGGAATCCGTCCTGGTTTCACTTCCTCCTTGTCCAGGCATCTGTGCTTTGGAAGTGTACAGCGTCCCAGGCAAGGCGCTGACGATTTACAACCTACAATATGCGTACTAATATTATAAATGCGAAAGTAATTCTGTATGTTACGTTATCACGCCTAAACCGCTGAACCAAATTTGATATATTTTAGATAGAGATAGATGGGACCTAGGAGAAGGTAGTAGTAGAGCTCCTTGTGAGAGTTCGTCCTGGGAAGTACTGCCACTTTACTTATTTCTGCCAGCAAGCAGTAATGTTAATATTACTGTGTTCCGATTTTGAAGGGTAAGGATGCTGGTGAAATTACATGCACATGGGATTTATCAACTTATGCCTCAGGGTGACGGGCGCAGTGGCAGTGCGCCTCAGATCTTTGCGATTTAAAGCTCTGAGTGGTAGGTAGTTTCAATATTTTTATATATTTTATCGGCAATGTATGTATGTAAGAGCGGTTACACACGGTGAACTTTAGCAGCAATGCAAACGCGATGCAGTCGGTAATCGCCTACACGCGCGTGATTTTAACTAGCGATGCAAACGCGATGCAAGCGCGCTACACTTGGGATTTATAGGCGATTGCATCGATGCAGTCGCGCGTTTGCATCGATGCAATCGCCCATAAATCGCAAGTCTACCGAAGCAATCGCGCGTTTCACGAACGCGCGTTTACATTGCCGACAAAAGTCGCCGTATGTGACCACTCTAATCTGGTATACTATACAAAACCTAGGTATTTTATACAATGGTTAAAACAGTCAGGCAATATATGAAATAAACTCTATTATGTACTTGGTCCTGGGGTTTTATACAATGCCGAACGTGCTTTATGCAAGACATAAAATTTCGCACCCCTCATGGAAGAATGGTCACTTATGCCATTCTTCCATGAGGGGTGCGATTTGTTGGATGTAGGTTCACAAGGCAATGTGATAATAGAAAGTGCTTGTGTGTTAAGAAGAATATTTTATGTAAGTCCAAGGGTCATAATATTTCACCTGTAAGAATAAGTGTCAATTGGAAGAATTGGTAATTAAATTATAAATGATTTTTGTTTAAAAAATCCATATTTTTCCGAACAAAAATTATATTATAATAAATAGTAAACACTATATCTGTACGCTACACAGATCAAACTTAACATACTGTTTAATGCATTATACAAAATTGTTGTATTAAGTGATTATTTGAGGCCTGAGTGTAAATTTGTAATCATTGAAACTTAACTACCGCGTTCGCGTTAAGATTTTTATTTAGATGTTAATTATGTAGGTATTTATAAGGTTTAAATTAAAATCTTGACGTTGCCACGATAGTTAAGTTTACATATTTGAAAACTTACACTAAGTCCTCAGATTTTGGAAAGTAAATCCAATAATTCTTCGACTTACTTTAAAAATGTGAACTCCATTGGAACCAAGTGCCCATTAAACTTTTAGGGACATTAGTTTTTCTCTGTTTGTTTTCAAACTGATAATACTTTAGTATAGCATTGAACGTTTAGATTTTGCTCTAAAAACGGTATCCGTAATAATTTTCGACCCAAGGGGTCTACTCTCGATCTCCGTCCGACATCCGTCCGAAACAATTACCGCCAAATATGCAATACTTGACCAAATGACGAGACGCGTGATGCGAATGAAGCTTTTAATTTTGTCGAATATTACTTATTTGACAGTAATTGTTTCGGACGGATGTCGGACGGAGATCGAGAGTAG